CCAACGTTATCTTCTGTGTCTGTGTTAATTGGTTTCCCTTTTCTTTGTTGAAGAGGGTCTGTGCAGTCCTTCTGCCTAGTCCACCATCTTGCCGGAACTCCTGATTTTTTTTCCTAAATAATTTGAAAATATAAAAACAGTTCTTATCCATGGGCCACAGTTTACAACTCATGGTTTATAGTACTGAGTTATACAGTGGGTAAGGTAGATGCCGTGAGTAAAAGTCATCCTATGGTCATTGCAGAAGTCTAGGATTTTAGAGATGGAAAGGACTCAAAGATGATCCTGCCTGAGTTTCAACTCAGTGATTTAGCACCCACATGATTTCAGCATCCACTGCCTTTATAGATGCTGTTCAGATTTGACACAGTTAATGTGCAAAAGCCGGACAGTGAATAAGGAAGACTGAAGAAGAATAGGTGCTTTTGAATTGTGGTGTTGGCAGAAGTAGTAAATACACCATGGAGTGCCAGAAAAATGAGCGATCTGCCTTGTATAGCCAGTATACCAGAATATTCCTTAGAAGTGAGGATAGTGAGACTTCGTTTCACACACTTTGAACATGTTATCAGAAGAGATCAGTCCCCGGAGAAGGACATCATGCTTGGTAAAGTAGAGGATCAGCAAAAAAGAGGAAGACCCTCAGCAAGATGGATTAACGCAGTGGCTCCAACAGTGGTTCAAATATAGCAACAATTGTGAGGATAACACAGGACCAGGAAATGCTTTGTTCTGTTGTACATAGGGTCACTGTGAATTGGAACCAACTTCACAGGACCTGATAACAATAACACATACTCCAAATCCACTGGGAGCAGGGAGCTGTTGGTCAGTCATCTATACCACCACCAGGACACACCCAGGCTCCCAAGCTTGGCTGGCCTGGCAGCTGCGTTCCCCCTGCCCCACTCAGGCAGTGGTGAGGGTTAGGGTGTCAGTGAGCATTTAACCAGCAAGGCAGGCTAATTAATTCATACCCACTTTCTCCTGGGCCTGTTTTCTGAAAGATTCCTTGTACCCACACCCTTTCTTCATTTCCTTCCCTTTCTCTCTTCACTGCAGAAAGCCCAGCAGATACTCATGTGTTTGGATCCTGAAGAGTTGAGGCCACTGTCCAGTTCATTGGGACCCTAGGACCTGTTTTCTTGATTTTGATTATCTTCGTGTTCCATTGTGAGCCAAGACCAGCATAAGCATTTGTCAGTGTGTCTGGCTTAGACAAGCAGTATGACAGGCCGAGGGCTAGGTTTTGTCCTGGCTGCACCTCACCTCTCCCCGTAGTACCTCTGGATCCTGTGTCTGGTGCCTGCTGGTCCAGTCCTGCTCCAGGGCTGCCTCATCTGCTACGAGCACCTAGTACAAAGGTTAAACCCAAGATTAGGTTCCTCAGGAACATAACAGTGGAAAAAAATTCTAAACCACCATACATTAACTCAGCCTTTACAACTAGTAGCTGGTGGACTATTCCATTAAAAAAAAAAAAAAAAAGTTTCTGAATCTTATAACAGATTTTGGCTTCTGTGGGTTTTTTGTTTGTTTGTTTGTTTTATATATATATAAAATATATTTAAACATTTAAAAATATACCAACATTTGCTATTTCAGCCTTTTTTGTATATACATTTCAGGGTCTGGATTTTTTTTTTTTTAATTATGATTTGGGTTGAAGTTTACAGAGCAAGTTAGTCATTTTCCATACAGCAGTTCATATGCATTTTGTTTCATGACATTGACTGCAATTCCCCACAGTGTAACAGCTCTCTTCCAACTTCTTCCTGTTAACTCTTTCCTGTGTCTTCCTTTCCTACGCATTCTTGCCCCCTGAACTATCTTCCTATGCAAACACTGCCCTTCTGTTCTCCCACAATTGATCACTCTAAGGAGTGTATCTACTGATGTAAATGTTCATCCTATATGCCTGTCTTGTTTGGCTGGAAGCCTTAGGAGTTAGTTCAATTCCAAACCTGAAGGATAACTAGGAGCCTTAGTCTCGGGGATCTCACCAGGCTCTATTAGAGCAGCAAACTTTTTTTTTTTTTTTTTTTTAATGAATTTGAGTTTTGTTCTACAGGTCTGGATTTTTTTTTTTTAAAGAAAAAGAAAACTCTCATGTAGAATTGTTTATCAGACAGCTTAAGGACAAAAATTTAGTAGATCAAGGGGTGTTGGCTTTTATTAACTATAACTTATATACATACAGAGAAAAGCATAACTTAGGCTTCTGGTACCCAGATCAGGGAGCCACTGAGTGAAACAAATGGTTAATGTACTTAGCTGCTCACTTAAAGGTTGCAGGTTCAAGTCCACCCAGAGACACATTAGAAAAAGGCCTGGCAATTTACTTCTGAAATCAGTCATCAAAAACCCTATGGAACACAGTTTTCCTCTGATACATGTGGGTACACCATGATTTGGAATCAACTCCACAGCAACTGGTTTTGGGTTTACCCAGATCAGCACACACCAGCACGCTGTAAACACCTCCTGAGCCCCCCAGCCACCCCTCCCCAGGATAACCAGTGGCGATGATGCTTAATGTTCTTCATTACATTTGCAGTATGCCTTGCTCTTTTCTCCATCCGCTAGAATGCCCTGTTTCTCATCTCCCTCCTTCCTTTGCTCTGGTCCTCCAGGCCTGTGACTTCTTGCATTGAGACCGCTTTCTTTGGCTCCTGCTGCCCCTCATCATGGGAGCTCTGGTGGCATAGTGCCTAAGGTATTTGACTGCTAACCAGAAGGCTGGTGGTTCAAACCCACCAGCCACTCCTTGGAAGGAAAGTTGGGCAATCTACTTCTGTAGCGATACCACCTCTGAAACCCAAGCAGGGGTTGTTATGAATCAGATCCAACTCCATGGCAGTACATTGCATTGTGTTGCCCCTCATCACAGCACAGACATTGTCTGTCCATGAATGTTCACAGTAAGGCCCCTCCTGTGTCTCCAAAGCTCCCCGGAGCTCTTCCTTCAAAGCTCCATGTGCGGTCTGACTGCAGGAACCCTATTCCTGGTACCAAGGGCTTCCCTGCGAACATTCCCCATTTAACCTCCTTCTCCTGCATGTGAGTGAATGTGCATTTCTTCTTTCCTCCTTAGTATGTTCCAGAAGATCTCCTTCCAGTTTACAAAGAAAAGGTTGTGCCAGTTGCTGACATTATAACTCCCAATCAGTTCGAGGCTGAGTAAGTACTTTTAAATGGCTGAGGCCCTCAGACCTGCTCCTGGGGAGAGTTACAGAGAGCTACTCCATGTCTCCTATGGATGAGGGTCAGGCCACTGAAGGTTCCCAGGATCCCAGGATGGCTGTGTATGTGGAGCAGAAGTCTGGGTTCTGGAAGAGGGTAACTCATCTCCTGAGTCCCCATACTAGGACAGAGCTCAGTGGCCCAATCCTTGCTTTTAGAAGTAGATTGTTATGAATTAAATTATGTCTTCAAAAAATATATGTTATAAATCCTAACCTCTATGCCTCTGATTATAATCCCATTTGGGAATGGGTTTTCTTTATTTTGTTAATAAGACAGGATTAGTCTCCTTTGAAATATGAAAGCAATTAAACAAGCAAGAGAAGCAGAGATGGTGGCCTTGGGACCATAGTCACAGGGGACATCAAGCTCAACTGGCATAACATACTATACAAAACATTGTTCCACCTCCTACTTTGGCAAGTAGAGACTGGGATCTTAAAAGCTAGCAAGCTGCCATTTAGATGCAACGATGGGTCTCTCCCCATCAAGAAGAAAGAAGAAAACCAAAATTAATGGAAACAATCAGTCCTAGCAACTGGTACACCATCCAATCTGCAACCTGTACAACTATGAGACCAGAA